GCCATCTTGCCGGAACTTCCTAGGGCCTTTCTTTACAAGCCATCTTGGAAAGTGAAACAAAATTATTTTCTTTTACCAACTAAACATTCTTATATTATTTCTCAAATCATTTTTTTATTTTTATGATTCAAAGACTTGAGGAAAATGAATCAAGAAAAGTACCTATTAACAGGGTACTATGTAGAGTTGTTCTGAGTTGGAATTGACTTCACAGCAACGAGTTTGCATTTTTTATTAGATATCAAGGGGCTCTGGCAATGCAGTGGTTAAAATGCTCAGCTGCTTAATCAAAAGGTCAGTGGTTTGAGCCCACCAACCTCTCTGTGGGTAAAAGATGTGACAGTGTGCTTCCCTAAAGATCATACCCATGGATACCCTATGGGGCACTTCTGTCCTATAGAGTCATTATGATTTAGAGTCAACTAGATAGCAATGGGCTTATTAGGTATCAATAGAGTATTAATTAGTCATGCATACATGGAATACTATGTGCTCTTAAAAATATGGGAGAGTTTTGGTTACCTAGTGCCACTCTATGGAACTCTGGTGGTGTAGTGCCTAAGGTATTTGACTGTTAACCAGAAGGTTGGCAGCTTAAACCCACCAGCCACTCTGCAGAAGGAAGACTGGGCAATCTACTTTCTTTCTTTTTTTTTTTTTTTTAATTGTGATTTGGGTGAAAATTTACAGTGCAAATTCACTCTCCATACAGCAGTTCACATACACTTTGTCTCGTGACATTGACCACTTTTTACCACAATGCAACAGCTCCCTTCCCACTTCCGATAGTTACCTCTTCCCTGTGTCCATCCCTCCATGCACTCCTGCCCCGAGTGGTCTTCCTGTGCATAAGAAGCCCTTCTCCCATGATTGTTCTCTCCAAAGAGTGTATTTACCTCAGGTAAATGTTCAACTCATATGCCTATCTTTTGTCTGGCTGGAAGCCACATGTGTGGGTTCAATTCCAGACCTGAAGGGCAGCTAGGGGTGGGCAATCTACTTTTGTAAAGATTTACCACCTCGGAAACCCAAATGGGGTTGCTGTGAGTCGGAATCGACTTAATGACAGTGAATTTGGTGTTTTGGTTTAGTGCTGCTCTAACAGAAATGCCACAAATGGGATGGCTTTAACAAACAGGGATTTATTCTCTTATAATTTTGGAGGCTTGAAGTCTGAGTTCAAAGTGCCAGGGTCTAGGGGCTGGATGAAATCCCCTAACCTAGGCAAATGCTGGCTGCTGAGGCTGACAAATCCAGGGTCTACAAGTAAAAAGGCACAGTCGCAATGTTACCAAACCACATGGGCAGGCCATTAATTCAGGTACATTGAAAGTCTCAATATGGGGAGAGCATGGCAGGCTATTGAATGAGGACTCGGCTACATGCAGAGTTCAAGTACATAAAAGAGCTGGAGACCTTCCTTATACAATGGAAACAGATCCTAAAGCAGCTGCTCAGCTGCTCCAACAGATTCTACTATGGAGTTAATTACCAATGTCACCATGGGAAAAACTACATCCAACTCCCCAGCCACTCAATCAGGCCCAGCCAAGCTGATGCACAAACTTAACTACAACAGGGAGATCCATATAAACTCTTTTAGAAGTTAACATATAAATGCACATATACCTGTATATACATACATACAGGCGCTCTGGTAGCATAGAGCCTAAGGCATTTAACTGCTAACCAGAAGGCTGGCAGGAGGTTCAAACCCACACCAGCCACTCCTTAGAAGGAAGGTTGGGCAATCTACTTCTGTAGTGATACCACCTTGGAAACCCAAGTAGGTGTCACTGTGAGTCAGATTCAACTCAACAGCAGTTTGGTTTTTGGTTTATACATACATTTTGTTGTTGTTGTTTGCCCTTGAGTAAGATGCGACTCATAGCGACCCCTCCTTGGGTTTCCGAGGCAGTATCACTACGAAAGTAGATTGTCCCATCTTCTTTCCAAGGAGCGGCTGGTGGGTTTGAATCTCCAGTCTTCTGGTTAGCAGTCAAGTGCCTTAGGCACTATGCTACTAGAGCTCCTTATACATACATAAATATTCATTTTTATTTTAATAATGTTTTCTAAAACAAATTATTATAAAAATTAGTTCTGTCTGGGAGATGAGAATGAATGTGTAGCAAATAAAAATTTTTTTACTTTATCTTTCTATTGTGCTTGACCTAGATATTTGAATTCCAGGAATTTATCCTACAGAAATACTCAGAGATATGTCTGCACATCTCTCTGAGTTGTATGAAGTCAGCTTAAAGTCAAGTACCTTTTAAATGTGTTGCAAATCACATGTACTTCAGTGCTATGTTCAGATGTTCTATGTAGCAATGATTTAATAACACACACACACACACAGACATACAATTTAAGGAGACATCATAAAGAAATGACTAAATATATATCACAATAATCCAAAATATTAAACAGTCTGAATCCTTTAAAGCTAGAGATCAAACTATATATGCAGGCAGGGAAAGAATTTTAAAACATGCTTTTAAATGAAAAACAATGGTCAAAGACAGTATTACAGTATGGCCCCGTTTGTGTAAAAACTACAGTGTGAGCAGTACATCATTTCCTCTTAGAAAAAGAGTGAGGATGTGGCTTCCTTCCTCCTCCTCAGAAAAGAAAAAAAATGCCCAAAAGTAAGTTGTGAAGAACAAAGTCAGATGTTATTTATAAACCAATCATACTATACAACCTAAAAAAAATAGTTTTTCTTAAAAAAATTTTTATTGTGATTCAGGTGAAAATTTACAGAACAAATTCATTTTCCATACAACAGTTCATACATATTTTGTCTCATGACATTAACTGTAAATTCTCACAATGTAACAGCTCTCTTCCCACTTTTTCCCCAGAGTTACCTCTTCCCTGTGCCCTTCCCTCCCATACACTCCTGCCCCTGCCCAGCTGTCTCCCTGTGCATACACAGACTTCTTTTCTCCCATGATTGATCCCTCCAAAGAGTATATCTACCTGATGTAAATATTCAGCCCATATGCCTGCCTTTTATTTAGCTGGAAGCCACAGGAGTGAGTGCAATTCCAGATTAATGGGCAACTAGGGGCCATAGTCTCAGGGGTTTCACCAGTCTCTATCAGACCAGAACCTGATCCTTTTTTTAAAAAAAAAATGATTTTGAGTTTTGTTCCACATTGTTCTCCCATTCTATCCAGGATTGCCTACACAGATACCCCTCTGAATAGTTGACAATGGTAGCTGGGCACCATCTAGTTCTTCTGGTCTCATGGTCATATAGACAGAAGATCACATGGTCTACCAGTCTCTTGGATTGTTTCCGTGTGTCTTTGGTTTTCTTCATTCTTCTAAAAAATAGTTATTTTAGTTCACAAATACAAAAGTTGTATGAAGTCAGCTTGAAGTTAAGTACCTTTTAAATGTGTTGCAAATCACATGTTCTTCAGTGCTATCTTCCAAACAGATGTGGGTGGTTTATACCCAGTGAAGCCTTTTATAATTACATATTTAATAACAAATGAACAAAACTGGTAACAAATATACCAACAGTCATTTAAAAAAAAATACTAAGTGAAAGCTGTTATTCTTAGTTGCAAAACAATCTATCATTCAGACTACCTGAAGATTTCACTGAACCCACCAGCATAGAGTCAATTCCGACTTATAGCAACCCCCAGTGGGTTTCTAAGGTGGTGAATCTTAACAGTAGTAGATTGACACATCTTCCTTCCACAGAGCAGCTGGTGGGTTTAAACCACCAACTTTCTGGTTAAAAGTCAAATGCCTTAGGTACTGTGCCACCAGAGCTCCTTTGATTCCACTGAAGTCACTGTAAAAAAGTTTATACAAAACTTAGATTTACAAGTTTGAAATCCTCATTGTATTTTCTGTGAAATAAATAATGATATACGCAAAAGCTCAAAGGATTAATAAGAAATGCAAGTTCCAATAAATCAACAAACAGATTTTACTCAAAGCCAAACATTAACGAGGAGACACAACACATTCTGCTTGCCTCTTTCTCTTCAGCAGCTACCATGGTACCTCCTCAAGTGGAAGACACACTCAGCCCAGTGGTTCTTAAACTCTTGTGTGCATAAGCATGATTTAGAGGCTGGTTAAAATGTAGATTCCTGGGCTTTTTCCCAGAGTGTCTCAGTATTATTGAGTTTGAAGAACCTTTGTGTTTTAACAAGCTCCATGATGATATTGGAGTCCCTGGGTGGTCAAATGGTGAGGCACTTGAGTACTAACAGAAAGGTTAGCAGTTCAAACCCACTCAGCAGCACCTCAGAAGAAAGCCCTGGCAATCTGCTTCCAAGAGGTCACAGCCTTGAAAACCCTGTGGAGCAATTCTACTCTGCACACAAGGTCACCATGACTTGGAATTGACATACTCTTTTTTTCTTGTTCTTAAATGATGACGTCAATGGTGTTACATGAACCACACTGAACACATGAATTCTCTCCAATCCTTACTCACTGCTATTGGTTGGACACTTGACTCTGAGCAGGTTACCTTTTTAGTCTTCTCATCTGTAAAGTCAATCAGTGGGACTGATAATCTCTGACAGCTGACCCTTAAACCCTAATGAAACAGGATTGACTCTAGTTGTAAAAGAAACATAGTTTCAGCTAAGAAATTAGTCTTCAAGGCAAGACTAGTTCTTCCAAGTCACAGGGATCCTGCCTTTCTGCCTGCCACCTTCTGAAATGTCAGCTTCTGACAGTTCACTTTCTGGAAGCATCTGAGTAGAGGAATTCTGAAACTGACAACATCTCTCTTAATTCTGGGGCTATTTCACATGCAAATAAGGTAGCTACTAGCAACCCTGAGTAAGAGGCTGTATAACCATGGTATGTGGTAAGACCCACTCTATTAGGAAAGAACAGAAACATCCCCATAACATTAAGTAGGGTCCAAATCCTACCAAAAAACTTCCATCTGGGGAGATAGAGCGCTCAATAGGACGTTTTAACACTAGTTGAACTTGAAGAGTAAGAGCTAGATTTCCTGGAGATTTTCTTTGAGCTAAGGGATATTTGCATCCGCTTTACAGTTCGGACACTTCGACAGAGCAGAGTGTTCTTTGCATGATCCCTGAAATCTTTTGAAACAAAGTAATAGACAAAGGGATCAATGCAGCTGTTGAGAGTGGAGAGGCAGAGGGCTGTGATGTACAGAGAATAGACATGGCTCTGGCCCCGGGTTTTAATCAGGAAATAATGCACCACGAGCAGAAGATTACTAGGAGTGAAGCAGATCAGGTACATGGCCAGGACAGTGACAATGAGTTTGATGGCTCTCCACCTTTTCTTCCCCGAGTTTTCGTCCACAGCTGAAGATCGGAGCACTTTGATCATCAGTACATAGGCAGAAGCCGTGAGGAAGGCTGGAAACATAAACACTCCAATGGCCAGAGAGAGGAAATAATTAAACATGTCCCCCACCAACACCTCCTCAGGTAAAACATCATGACAGGTTGTGATGTTAAGGGCTGGAATGTGGATGGTCTGCTTCACAACATACAAGGGGATGGTAACCAGCAGAATCAGCAGCCAGATTCCCAGAGAAACACCTATGGCAATGTTTGCCTTCTTCCTGGGGTGCACCAGAGGGTTTACGATGACCCAGTACCTCTGCACACTGAGGCAGGTCATGAAGAGAATGGAACAGTACATATTGCCATAGAAGAAGCTAATCAGCACCTTGCAGAGCACTTCCCCGTAAATCCAATTGTTGCCATGTATGTGATAGGCAATCTTCAGGGGGAACCAGATAACAGAGAGGAGGTCGGCCAAGGCCAGATTGGCCATGTAAATCACAGCAGGGTGCTTCTTCTGTGTTCGGAAAAGAAATACCCACAGGGCCATGCAATTACTCGGCAAACCAACCACAAATACAATTATGTAGATGACTGGGAGGAAAACGGTAGTCAGTTTTCCAGTAAGGACCGAGGCAGAAAATTCATCCACGGAGAAGCCTGGTCCCATTGTAACTCCTTTTCCAATGACTTGAGATGAGCCATTCCGCTTACCAATTAGACTTCTTCCTTTAGAGTTTTTATTGAATCCTGTACAAGAAAGGCAAGGCAGACAAGGGTTACTACCGAAATAAACATTTGAACAGAAATATTGATTTCTTCAAGTGAAAGTACATTTGATTAAGGCAGAAACATACCATTGGAGGATTATCCAAAATGCTTACAGGTGTTTTTCTGGGTGGTGGGGTTACTGGGATTTCTAACGTCTGGTTTTGTTTTAGTGTTTTCCAATGAATATTTTTTTTTATTGGGGTTGTGGGGTGCATGCAGAACACACCGACGTCGACAAATTTTGAAAACACTGCTAGTATTCTAATTTATTTTTATAAACTGTCTACACTCATTAGTTCCTAACTACTCTTATCACATGTCTATCAAACCGAATTGTCAAGTGTGAGAGACAAGAAAAAAAAGCGTGACAATCTTCTTCCAAAAAATCAGCCGCTGAAAACCCAATGGATCAAAGTGGTTCAATCTTCAACCAGTCATGGGAATGGCACAGGACCGGGCAGCACTTTGTTTTATTGTGCATGGTGTCACCACAATTATGGCCAACTCAATGACAGCCAACAACCCCAACACCAGCTTTCACATTTCTCACTTCATAATGGCTCTCTCTCCCACTGTGACCCTGAGCCAGAATCCAGCCTGGCTCATCGGTCATTCCCTATCCCTATGCCCTGCACAGGAAGATTCCCAGGACCACAAGGACATTCCTTCTCTACCCACATGGATAGCCTCAGTGACAGGCAAAGGACCACATATGACAACATAGTGTATAACTCCATTTTACTAAATGTCTGTAACAGTCAAATTCATAGACAGAAAGTAGATTAATGGTTGTCTAGGGTTGGGGGAGGAGCTCTGGTAGCATAGTGCCTAAGGCACTTGACTACTAACCAGAAGGCTGGTAGTTCAAACCTACCAGCTACTCCTCGGAAGGAAGGTTGGGCAATCTACTGTAGTGATACTGCCTCAGCAACACAAGGAGGGGTCGCTATGAGTTGGGTCTGACTCGACGGCATACAACAACAACAACAAGGTAGGGGCGAAGGAGTTCTGGTGCCGTAGTGTCTAAGGCATTGGATTGCTAACCAGAAGGTTTGTGGTTCAGACCCACCAACCACTCCATGGAAGGAAGATTCATAAAGATTTACTGCCTCAGAAACCCAAAGATGGTCACTATGACTCAGAATTGACTTGGTGGCAGTGGGTGTGGGTTTGGATTTAGGGTTGAGGGGAGGAGCCTGGTGGCACAAATGGTTAAGCACTAGTCCATGAGTGTGGACACAACTTTGCTTGGTGAAAGTGAGGATGATTTAAAGTACTTACTGATGAAAATTGAAGAATACAGTCTGCAGTATGGATTATAGCTCAATATAAAGAAAACCAAAATCCTCACAACTGGACCTATAAGCAGCATCATGATAAATGGAGAAAAGATTGAACTTGTCAAAGATTTCACATTGCTTAGTTCTACAATCGATGGTAATGGAAGCAGCAGCCAGGACATCAGATGACATATAGCACTGGGCAAGTCAGCTGCAAAGGACCTCTTTCAAGTGCTGAGGAGCAAACATGTCTCCTTGAAGACTAAGGTGCTCCTGACACAATCCATGGTATTTTCAATCGCGTCATATGCATGTGAGAACTGGACAATGAATAAAGAAGACCAAAGAAGAATTGATGTTTTTGAGATGTGGTGCTGGCAAAGAATGCTAAGAGTACTATGACTGCTTTAGAACTAACAAATCTGTCCTGGAGGAAGTGCAGCTGGAGCTCAAGCAAGAATGGCCAGACTTCACCTCACCTACTTTGGTCATGTTGTCAGAAGGGACCATTCCCTGGAGAAGGATGTCATACTTAGTAAGGTGGAGGGTCGATGAAAGAGGGGAAGGCCCTCAACGAGATGGATTGACACAGTGGCTGCAGTGATGGGCTCAAGTATAGCAGGGATCACGGAGCTGGCGCAGGAGCGGGCGGTGTTTCATTCTGCTGTGCATAGTATTGCTATGCGTTGGAGATGATTCAAAGCCTAACAACACCACCACCACTAACTGAAAGGCTGGCAGTTGGAACCAACCCAGCAGCTCAGCGGGAAAAAGACCTGTGGATCTACTTTTGTAAAAATTACAGCCAAGAAAACCCTATGGAGCAATTCTACTTTGTCACTGTCAATGGAAATTGACTCCACGGCATCTAACAACAACAATGGGGCTGGGTGTACTGTAGGGAGTTTAGGGCCGATGGCTAAGGGGTGTAGGGTATTTTGGGGAGATAATGAAAATACTCTAAAATTGATTGTGGTGATAGATGGGCAACTCTGAATATACTAAAAGCTACTAAACTGTGTACTTTAAATGGGTCAATTGCATAGAATATGAAATATACCTCAATAAAGCTGTTAAAAAAATAACACTGGGAGAAGGGGCAGGAAGTGAGTTGGAGAATAGATGAAGCAAGATTGGCCAGGAGTTAATAATTGAAGCCAAGTGATAGGTATATTGGGGTTAATTTTAATATTCTACTTTTATATGTTTTAAAATTTTCATATAAACAAGCATATACCCTAGGTCAAGATGTTTCATATAAACAGAGATTGAAATTGGTTTTAAATTAGAATGCTAAACTAGAGGGAAGAAAGGAATGAGAGAGGCAGTATAATAAAAGAAATGTGACTCTAGGCTAGGTACAAGAAATACACACTTGCTTTTGAAGCTATCAAGGATTTCATTACACTTGGATCCCTAATTAATACTCAATAGTCACAATGAGAAACATAAAAAAAAAAAAAAAAGAAAAAGAAATCATGCAACATATTGCTTTGGGCAAATCTGCTGCAAGAAATCTCTTTAAAGTGTTAAAAAGCAAAAATGTCCCTTTGGACTAAGGCATTCCTGCCCCACACCATGGTATTTCCAATTACCTCCTATGCATGTGAAAGCTGGACAAGGAGTAAAGAAGACCAAATAAACACTGATGAATTTGGAATTATGGTGTTGGTGAAGAACATTGAATATACCTTGGACTACCAGAAGATCAAACAAATCTGTCTCAGAAGAAGTACAGCCAGAATGCTCCTTAGAGCAAAGTAAAGATAGCAAGACTTCATCTCACATATTTCTAACATGCTATCAGGAGTGATCAATCCCTGGAGAAGGACATCACGCTTTGTAAAATAGAGGGTCAGCAAAAAAGAGGAAGACCCTCAATGAGACTGACACAGTGACAGCAACAATAGGCTTGATTTGCTCAATGCGATACGTCATTTGTTTTTGACTGTTTCTTCCATGGCATTGATTGTGGATCCAAGCAAAATGAAATCCTTGCAACTTCAATCTTTTCTCCATTTATCATGATATTGCTTATTGGTCCAGTTGTGAGGATTTTCATTTTCTTTGTGTTGAGGTATAATCTATGCTGCTTATATTATACATACTTGCAAAATCTAAAGTCTAAAAGGATGCTCACCAAACTGTAAACAATAGCTATCTCTGGGGAGAAGAAATGAAAAGAGGAAAATGTTCCTTTTTAATTTTACACTACATTGTTTGGATTTTTTTTTCCTAAGAGTACAAATTGGTAGAATCTTTTTGGAGGACAATTTGGCAAAATGTAGCATGATTTAAAATGTACTTGTCCTATGACCTAGATATTTACTTCTAGGAATTTGTCATGGACATAGAGTAAGTTAAAAAAAAAAAAAAAACTCATTGCGGTCAAGTCTATTCTAACTCATAGTAACCCCTCCTCCTTGGGTTTCCAAGGTGGTATCTCTATGGAAGTAGATTGGTCAGTCTTCCTTCTAAGGAGTGGCTGGTGGAATTAAACCACCAGGCTTCTGGTTAGCAGTCAAATGCCTTAAGGCACTATACCACCAGAGCTCTTATCTATAGGAATAGATACTAGAACATTATTTATCATGGTGAAAAAACTATTACCAATCTCAATATCCAGCAAAAAGACTAGTTCAATAAATTATGACATATATACAATGAATAACATTCCTCCTATAAAATGATAGACAAATTTCTATAAACTGATCATGGATAGATTTATTAGGTAATAAAATAAATTATAGGACAGTGTGTACTACATGGTCCTTCTATTGGTATAAATACATATTTGTGCAAAGAGAAGTCTAGTTGAGAGCAGAGAAAGGAGAGAATGAGAAACGTCTACCCTTTTAAGACCCTTTTGACTTGTGTAATTTTGAAAAAAAAAAAAAACAACGCATACATGACTTTTAATTTAAAAAGTACCTTGTTATTTTAAGTATACTCCTCCTGTGGCCCATGGTCCTCACCAAACCAAGTATAAAGCAAGTAATTTATTTGGGTTAACTCTCTTCCCTTCTCCACTATTCTCTCACCAGAAATCGTATTTTGTGTCTGATCTTTGGGAGCACAGGCTAAAAATAAAAAGTTTCAATTGACTCATATGTCTCTTAGGTACACTTAGTAAAGCTTCACAAGTGTTCTTTCAGAATGAACTGTTTTCCTCTTAACATTTGTCCAGGTAATAAAACCGTAAGAAAGTGAAACACAAACGTCACTGAAACATCACCAATCAAGGTTAACAAGGGAACTAAACACAAATTTCAAGTCTTATTGTCATTTTCATTACTGGGTTTTCTCTAATTACAAAACATTGGACATATCCCATGTATTTATTGACAAAGAACTAATTTTAAAAACTATGATACATCCTCCAGTAACATAATATTTTAGTATCACTAAAAATGTTTTGGGAGCTCTGGTGGCGTAGTACCTAAGGCACTTGACTGCTAACCAGAAGGTTAGCAGTTCAAACCCACCAGCCATTCCTCAGAAAGAAGGATTGGCAATCTATTTCTGTAGTGATACTGCCTCAGAAACCCAAGGAGGGGTCGCTATGAGTCAGAGACGACTCGACAGCACATAACAACAAACAAAAATGTTTTATATTTGACATGCTGCTGATTAGTTTGTATAATCACACTTATACAAGAATATTTCTGTATCTGTGGGTGCATATTTTATACATGCATA